CACACACACTCACACACACGAGAACCCATGTCCACTGTCACCTAGATGGACGCTGACGCACAGGGACCCTAGAGGGCAGAGCACTACCCCATAAGGGCTCCAAGACTGGAGAGCTGTACAGGACTGAGGAGTGGCTTGGGCGTTTGAATGAGCGACACCACCACCACCTTAGTGCTTTTCCATTTCACAGAGCTTTTATATCCAGAAACTCTGGATTTCACTATTCACAGCAAATGCGGCCATTTGATCAAGATGGTCTAATTAGCGCTTATTTCAGACCACAAAATAGGGGACCAGGACAGGGAGATGACTAACCTCAAGCCACAGGGTTTACAGAGAGGTGGCCCCTGTGACAGGAGCTGGCCTTTCAAGCCACACCACCATCTTTCACCTTAGCTGCCTAAGGGGCCCTGTGAACCTATCCTTAGAGACACGATCACTCCAGGCTAGATCCCCGGGGTTACACAACACCAAGTTCCCCACTTCTGGGCCCCTTAAAGTGACCTTACATGTGGGTCACACACTCCTAGGAAACTCCCTGAAGCAGATGTGCTGAGGGCCCTGTGCAGTTCAGCAGTAACGTACCAACTTTGTCCTTCAGAGTCCGGTTAAGTGAATAGAAGAGGAAATTATGACTCCCGGACCAGTACACACCGAGGAGACAGGCGGCCCCTGAGAAAGAAGAAAGGAAAGATACAGGTCACCTTCCCATTTGTTCAGCAGGTGTTAGTCCAAGAGGAAGTTGGTTTGAAGTGCAAATTGGTTTGTTCTAATGGGCGCCACTCAATAGAAAGATGAGCTTCCCAAAGAAGAGGGGCTGGCACACTCATGAGGGCTGATTCTAGGTCCCGCCACCAGCCTATATAGGCAGGAAGGGTGGTCACAAGGGCACTTAGGCTGCTTCATGCCCACTTGGCTGTCAGGTGTTTTGAATAACATTTTCTACAAGACAAATTTACATCTAGAAGTAGCCTGGTGGGATGTGCACTCATTCCCTCTTCCCTGGAGACAGCACCAGCCTCTACTACTAGGGAGCATGGGCTCAGGGACCCAAATCCAAATTGAAACCCCTTAAGTTACAGCTAACAACTCAATTTCCACCTTGACCCCCTCCCACCAACCATCATCCAAACCCTGGGCAAAGTAGGGTTTGCTATGTGGAAGTCCCTAGTGGGGAATTTTGCAGAAGGATGACCCAAGGGGCACAGCTCCCCAGGAAAATCACCTGAGGGGCTCTTGACTTCCGTTGGCATGGCAAAAACAGAGCTCAGGGGCAGGAAATGGAAGGTAGCCACACTGGAAGGGAGAAGACACCCGTTAGAGAATGAGAGGCTCTTTGGCAAGGAGAGGAGCTGGCAGATCCGAGGACTCAGGCAGAGGGCTGGTGAAGATGACACCCCCCCACCCACACCCACCCCCGTTGCTGGGCGCCACCAGGCAGAGCGCCTTTTATGGCTGGTTCTGGTGGGACAAGCAGATCCGGGACCTGCTGAGGGCAAGGTGGGTTGAACTGCCACGATCCATGTGAGTGGGACTAGCTTCAGACATCACCGTGAACATGGACAGGTTAAAGTGCCAGACCAGTGGTGGTGCAGGGCAGCACCCCTACCCCAGACGGTTGGTTTCTTCTTGGAAACCAGCTGTGTCCTGAGGCAAGATTCCTTCACTTACAAAGCTTCCTTATTCTCTTTTTCTGGGGACAACACAACCTGTGGTCTGCTGGTTGACTGGCTTTCTGAGAAAAGAAGATCAATCCTGACTTGGAGGCTGTGCGGATTTCTGTGGAGTAAATCTGCCTACCATGAGCAAACTGCCAACTGACTTGCAAGCTTCTGCAGGGATCACGGTAGCTGGTCAGGGGATCCAGCTCAGGGCACCACGAAGCCTTGCTATGGTCCCAGGGCAGGCGACCATCACTGGAGCTGCTCTAACTGAGCCTCAGTAGCTTGTTCCCTGACATGAGAAGTTCCAGGCCCACTTGGCAATGAGAGGAGAGGTTCCTCTTTGCACCCGCCCACGTGGGAGGCCCAGCTGTGAGAGAACGCACTCCAGGGTGAGAGCCAGCCCCAGCTCACACCCGTCAGCGCCCTTGCCTCCATTTTCACCATCGACACGCAGGAGGGTCAATGAGGCCTTAACTGCCGACCAAGGTTGGGAAAGTGATACATGTCAAGAAGCAGACATACAGGTTACATTTCTAGACTGGAAGGAAATGGAGAGGAATGGGCACAGTGGCGGCTGACGTTCTTCAGGACCTTCTGTGTTTTTTAGATCATCTAGAAAAAAAATCTAACAAGATTTAAACAGTCTCTGTGCAATGTCTCAAAAGATCTGCTGGCGTTTCCTGAAGTCTCCTCTCTCAGAGAGCGTTTCGGGGTGAGCTGCGTAGAGCAGTTCCTGGGTGTGCCAGGAGAAGAGGAGCTTGGCGGCTCCAGGTGCCCCTTTTGCTCACCTGAGTGGCTCCTCCTCGCAGTCCCCTTCCAGGTATTTCTTGTATGTAGTGTTGAAGGCAGCCCTTTGTTGCTCCCACTGACTGTCCTTGATGAAGTGGTTCTGCCCAGAGCCCAGCCCATAGCTGTCCTCGATCTTGGCAAAGACTTCCAGGGGGCTTTTAAATGTGGTGCCTGGGGGACAATAGTTTGGAATTAGTCAAGTCACCGGACTTCCCTCTCTGGCCGATTTCCTCTTCCATGCTTCCCATCAGCCGTGCTCAGCACCTTGGTCTGTGACACCCCATGCACAGCCTTCTCTCCTGCCCCACACACTCACCAAGCCCAAGAAGAGTAGCTGCTCACCACCCTCCTGCTTCTACAGCTCCACCCTCCATCATTTCCTCTGTTGACCCTGCAGACATCAAGGTCTATGATGCTCCTGGAGACCTAAAATCACTGGTGTCACCTCCCCAGCTAAGCTGGGCACCAAGCCACTCCGCTTAGCAGCCCTGCTGAAGACCCGCATGACCAGGCAATCCCATTGCCTCAGGCTGATGTTTAGCCAACTGCTTTCTTTTAACAACATATTTCCCCGCTGGCAATCCGTTTTCTCATCCTCCCCTTCCCAATAACCTTTCATTTACTTTTGTTCATCTGGTGCTGAACCCACAGTGGAGCCAGAAGATCTATGTTCCGGTTCGCACTCCAAGTGCCAGAACTTTGCTCTCTTTGGAAGGTGCTCAGGTCCCTCAAGTTGGCCACAGGCCCCACAGTGCTCTAGGCCCCTCACTAGGGAAAACCATGGCCAACAGTTTCTTGCACAACTCTTTAGAGGGAGCCCTCTTGGTAGAAACAAATGTGTGTTATAAGGCAGTAGTTCCCAAAGTATGGTCCCAGATCACCAGTTTGACCACCTGGAAACTTGTTAGAATAGCAAATTCTCAGTCCCCAAATCCCTATCTGTTGAAACAGAAACTCTATTGGTGGGGTCCAGCAATCCAAATAATTCTGATATAGCTAGAGTTTGAAAACTGTCCATAGGTACAATAACCAAAACCCACACCACTTGCCACAGAGCTGGTTCCAAATCCTGGTAGCCCTAAGTGTTACAGAGTAGGACTGCTCCATAGACGTGCTTGGTTGTACTCTTTACAGAAGCAAAGCGCCAAGCTTTCCTTTCACGGTGCCAGTGGATGGGTTCCAACAGCCAACCTTTAGGTTAGTAGGCAAGCACTTAGCCGTTTGTGTCACCCAGGGACCTGTTAGGTACAATATCCCTTGCTTTTTCATTTGACACTGTAACTTGGAGATCACTTCCTAATGTTTATTATTTTATTCAAGCTTTTTTATTGTGAGATGTATCATGTTCAGAACGTGCATGAAATGCGGCTCTTAATAAATTATTCTAATGTAAACATCTAGTACTCTCTATTTAGGCCTACAATAGAACACAACCAGGTCCTTAGAAGCTTCCCAAAGGGTTCTTTTCCAATCCTAACTCCTTCTTTCTCCCCAAGAGGCAACAGCTCTCCTGTCTTTTCTTGTAAGCCTTGCATTTCTTTATGTATTTTGCCACTCAATTAGGCATCGTGGTTTAAAATCAGAAAAGGGATGTGGGAGGGTTTATCCTTTCACTGTACTTATTCAATCTGAATGCTAAACAAATGCGTCCACGAAGCTGGACGACATGAAGGACATAGCACCAGCATTATGCTGTGCAACCTGTGGTATGCACACGACAGCACCTCGTCTGCTGAAAGCCAAGAGGACGTGAAGCACTTGCTGATGAAGATCAAAGAGTGCAGCCTTCCGCACGGTTTATAAGTCAGTGTAAAGAAAACAACAAATAGACATTTAAACACCAGAGCCTTGTTTCACCAGACTGAATTATACACTAACGGAGCCCAACAGCATTAGCCCTATATCTGTTCTCTTGTGCTGAATATTACACGTTTGTGAGACTTATCCATTTTGCTTAATGACCTGCATTAAGCAGGTTCATTTTCATTGCTGTGTAGTATTTCATTGAATGAATATATCTATAATTTATCTGAACTATTATTGAGGGACATTTCGGTTGTTTCATGTTTAGGGTTTTTTAAAAATAGTACATAATTAATATCCTTGTACATGTCTCTTGGTCCCTATTTAATTGCAAACCTAGAACGTATAGACCCAGAACTATAGTGCCCTACTTGACCGGGCTTGCTCAGGACTTTCCTAGGGTGAGCACTTACATTGCTGGATTCCCAGGCAAACTGATGGTCCACATCCTCACTAACACACTGCGTGGTCAACCTTTAAAAATTGTAGCTATTCTGGTGTGTAGTGATCTCTTATTGTGCTTTCTCTTTGCATTTTGTCTATAACTAATGATACTGGGTATCTTTTCATGTGTATTGGTCATTTGAATGCTTTATTTTATGAATGGTCTGTATAATATTCTTCACTGACTTGGTACTAGATTATCTTTCTCTTAATTTTTAGAAATCCCTTGTACATTGTGGCTACGGATTATACAGTGAACCCTCGTTTATCGTGGTTCATCGGTTCTAGACCCTACCGTGATAAATGAAATTTCGCGAAGTAGGATTCCTTATTTGTAAATCAAATATTTTCGTAGTTAGAGCATAGAGGACATGAAAAAACACCCTTTAGTCACCATTACACTCGTATTACCCAATTTATTAAACGAAAAAGGGAAAATACAGTAAAACATTTTGGACGTTACAATTATCATTTATTATTTATTATATTATTTATGGCATCAAGCGTGTACAGTATGAGCCAATCAGTGGCAGTAATGACAGAGCATGCGCTGTTATGCAAAAACCGCGATAGAGTGAAGCCGCGGAAGTCGAAGCGCGAAGTGGCGAGGGTTCACTGTAGATGTTTCGTAAGTACATTTTCCACTCTGTGGTTTATGCTTTCATGATCTTTTTTTGGAGGGGAGGTTGGCATTTTAAAAATTATTATTAATCATTTTATTGGGGGGGGCTCTAACAAATCTTATGACAAGCTATCATTCAATTGTATTAAGCACACTTGTGCATATGTTGCATAAACATTTCCAAAACACTTTCTTCTACTTGAGCTCTTGGTATCAGCTCCTTTTTACCCCTCCCTTCCCCACCATCCCATCCTCATGAATTCTTGATCAATTATGTTATTGTTATTTCATGTCTTACACTGTCCATTGTGTCCCTTCACCCACATTTCTATTATTCATTCCCCTGGGGGGGTGGGCTATATATCCAACTTTGTGATGGGTTCCCCCATTCTCCCCCTTCACCGCCACACCTACCATCCCCCTACCCTCATGATATCGCTACTCCCACTACTGTTCTTAAGAGGTTTATCTGTCCTCAATTCTATGTGTCGAGAGCTCTTTTCTGTACCAATGTGTGCACTCCGGTCTAGCTGGATTTGTAGGTAGAACTGGGTCATGGTAGTAGGGGAGGAAGCATTCAGGAACTAGAGGAATGGTGTGTTCCTGCTGCTTTGGTGCTATACTGCACCTGGTTGAATTGTCCCTTCCTTGTAACCCTTGTGTGGGGGGATGTCCAACTGTCTACAGATGGGCTTTGGGTTTCCACTCCAACCCCCCTCATTCACATCGATACAATGGTTTGTTTGGGATCTTTTGATACCTGATATGTGATCCCCTTGACACCTCATGATCACACAGGCTGGTGTGCTTCTTCCATGTGGGCTTAGTTGCGTCCCTGCTAGATGGCTCCTTGTTTAACTTCAAGCCTTTAAGACCCCAGACACTATATCTTTTGATAGCTGGGCAGCATCCACTTTCTTCACACGTTTGCTTATGCACCCATTTTGTTTTCAGTGATTGTGTTGGGAAGGTGAGTATCAAAGAGTGCCAAGTTATTAGAACAAAGTGTTCTTGTGTTAAGTGAGGCCTTGAGTAGAGGTCCAAAGTCCATCTACTATCTTAATACTTAACATATAACTATTTGTACATTGGCCTCTACCCCTTTCATTATAAATATATTTACATATATACATGCCTATAGCTATACCTCTATAAATAGCTTTTGCCTCCTAGTTCTTTCCCCTTCCTCCTGCTCCGCCATCAGGCTCACCCTCCACTTGGCTCTCAGTAATTCCTCTTAGATACATTGCACTTGATCAAACCCCACCAGGCATCCATGCCATCACTGTTAAATGTTGTTTCCTCATC